AATCCCTCTTTTAAGTAAACCTAATTGTAACTCAAGGTCCAAAACTTTTATTGTGATAACATCAGAATATGGCCTACCTTTTTGGGTTTGTAAAATGGATGGACAGTTTTTCGTGATAAAATTGAATAAATTATTTATAATGAAGTCAGTGTCTTTGCTAATTTACTTTTTGAATACATGTATAGTGTTGCCACAACAGCCTTCTCTCCTGTTTCTTTGTGCAACATATATGGTTGCTTTTAAGCACAAGGGGGCTATCCCGAAAAATGCTGTTTTTGAAAAAATCGAAGGTAAAGTTTTTGCCCTTTGTTCAGTTTCTGTAAAAGAAAAGGAGAGTTTTCTCTATAACCAAACAAATGTACTCACCAATGAAATCAAACTTCTCCTACAGGTAGGGCAATGCCCACTTTTGGTGTAAGTCAAGATTTCTGGGAAACCCCCTGAAATCTGGGTTAGCCCCCTTGTCCTTAAAAGCGACCTTATATATGTGAGGCATCGTGGAGAAATCAGGCGCTCGTCAAAATAATGAAATCAAAGATATTCTTTTGGGCATTTTCCTGGTCGTAGGACAATTTCTTTTTTAATTTTTTTTTTTTTTGGCTCATCACCGTCTATGTCCATTTAAAAACACATTTCTGTGTAGATTATTCTGAAAAACATTGATTTAAAGGCACAAAAATCGTAAATTTTCATTTTCCAAGGACTCTCAAGCTAATGGGAATTACGAAACTTTGGTAGCCATTTTCTCACTGATTTTACCTTTGAAACCAGACAACCATCATCATCATCATCATCATCATCCGGTGCCTTGCCGACTGACGTGGGCGATCATGGACCTCCACTTCTCTCTGTCTTGCGCTGCAGCAATGGTGTCTGTTGTTCTAGCTGCTCCTAGCCATATTGTCATCTGGCTGTCTTTCCATCAAACCATCACTTCCTTCAATTGCAAATATCTCGATTTCTTTTCAACATAGATTGATTTTTTTTCACCAAACGCAAAATATATAAAAATTGTTTGAAATTATATCAATAACCCCATATATGCCCCAAAATTGACAAACGCCTGATTCCACCACGTCATTCCACATACATAGTGCCTATATATATACTTTTCAGATCCCTAGTGTTTAGACTTGTTTAACTTGCTCAAACGGCTATCTTTTCAGGACAATCACCTTTACAAACAACCCCTCCCCCCCATTGTTTTGCTGGGGGTTTATTTTGTTGGGGTGGAGGGGGGGGGGGT